AGCTATCTAAGATGCATCAATTGGACCCAGCCACCTGGAGTAAAGGAGAATGAAGAACACCAAAGACACAAGGCAAGTATTAGCCCAAGAGATAGAAAGGGCCACATAAACCAGACTTCATCAGCCTGAGACCAGAAGAACGAGATGGTGCCTGGCTACCACCAATGACGGCCCTGACGGGGAACACAACAGAGTCCTGGATGGAGCAGGAGAAAGGTGGGGTACAGAACTCAAATTCTAGGAAGAAGACCAGACTTAATGGTCCGAGACTGGAGGAACCCCAGAAAGCATGGCCCCCGGATTCTATCAGTCCAGAACTAAAACAATTTCTGAGGCCAACTCTTCAGATAGGGATTGTACTGGACTATGGGACATAAAGTGATACTCGTGGGAGTGTGTCTCTTAGCTCAAGTAGATACAAGAGACTAAACGGGCAGCTTCTGTTGGGAGATGAGATGGGAAGGCAGAGAGGGTTAGAAGCTGGTTGAATGGACATAGGGAATTAGGTGTGGAAAGGAGAAGTGTGCTGTCACAGTATGGGGAGAGCAAGTAGGGTGCCATAACAATGCATGTATGAATTTTTGTATGGGAGATTAACTTCAAACGTAAACTTCATCTAAACTACAACAATAAAAAGATAAAATTAATTCCAAGAAACTACTAATCATTATTTAGTCAAGTTTCAGGCACTGTGCTCAATGATGGGAATACTACAAAAATGAGTAAGATGTGTTTCCTGAACTCAAGCCACTCAAAGCTTATCAGGATAGACAAAAACCAAAGTGCAAATAACATAGGGCAGAGGACAGCTGTGCCTTCTTTAGAGATGTCTGAAGTGCTATGGGCTCCCGAGGTCACCTTTTAACAGAAAAGCAGAGAGGCAGAGAAAATAAACGATATACCCAGAAGACAGGTGCGCTATGGAAAAACACCTGTAGGAGTCCAGAAGATCACCATTTAATGCAAAGCGAAGACGAGAAGATGGGGCGCAGGGAAACTAGAGGACGGAAAATGGAACAACCAGAACCCAGTTAATGAGAATGCTGACACCATGTGAAAAATGTAACTAATGTCACTGATCAATTTGTGTGGAAATTGTCAAAGGGGAACCTAACTTGCTGTGTAAACTTTCACCAAAAACACAATGAAATAGTTTAAAAAATATATGAAAAGAAAGTGCTATAGAGCTTTTTATAAGACACAATATTAACCAGTAAATACTCATGGAGCAGTCATAATGTCTCAGCATCCAGTCATAAATTAAATCATAAAATTATAGAACCAATAAGAAGTATTTTAAAAGTCACTAGGTTCATCTCCCTGACTCCAGGGAGGAAAAGTTTTACTCAACTGCATTCTAGAAATGGAGATTCTAGGTTTAAATAAGACTCCACACTTTGTTTCTATATTTTTAATGTTATATATTCTTTCAAATGTCTATTCCAAAGTCCTTCTTGCTCATACATGCTGTTCTTAGGGAAATGAAAACAAGCTTATCAACATACTCCTTTACCTGTTCCTCCTTTACTTTTCTGTTTTGAGTCTAAAACCCAGGCACTAATATTTCTTTACCAGAGTTATTAACTAGACTTCTATTCACTCACAGATTTGATAAAGTCTGGGTAAGGGTTATGGAGAAGCCCTAACTCACATAATCATCATAAGCACGCAGATTAAAGACATACTGAGAAAATCTAGATGCCACATTGCTCCAAGCATAGTGACAACAAAAATATCCTTGGATCTATCTGTCGCTTCAAACTACTTCCTGGTTTTGACTTTCCCAGGTAGAGAAACAACTGTATCCAACTACGAGTGTTTTTCTGCTGAACATAAAACACACCCAGTAAAACTTCTTACATAGCACACTTCATTTAAAATCTACAGCTTAAGAAAGACTCATGAGGGACCAGTGAACTTTTGGAGTATTATTTAATTGCTTACAGAAAGCCTTGCTATGAGTAGGAATTACTTTGGAAATAACCTCTTAAGCAAGGACAGTTAGTAAGAAATTGTGTCAACAGACCTTGCTCACATAGCTTGCTTTCACATCCCCAAATTTAAAAGCTCTGAATGCAGAGGCATAGCACCAGTAACGACTTGCTAATGAATTTTCCATATTCCTCTGTGGGGTTTTTAATTGGCCCTAATTCATTCCCCATTTGGTTTTTATTGGGTAGGCCACATCTGATGTCACTTGCGCATCCAAGTCTCCAGCTGGTTCCTGGACACACTGTTTACTCCTGCTGCACCATAAGCCTACTGTGAAAATAGAGTCTTCATGCTGAGTATGGACAGGTGTGCCGTCGAGCCGATTCCGACTCAGGGTGACCCTATACGACACAGTAGAACTGCCCCATAAGGTTTCCAAGGCTGTAATCTTTATAGAAGCACACTACCAGGTCTTTTCTCCTGACCTTTTGGTTAGCAGCCAAGCACTTAACCTTAAATACTCATTGACTTTAGTAGCTACCAATTGCTTTACATCCCTAAATGACAAGCACCACTAGTAAAAAATTCTGTAAATAAAAATGCAGTTGTTCTATCAGATCCAACTTCAGTTATCAGTGAAAAAGAGGATAAAGGGCTTTTGACAAGTAAATATTTGGCCTCGAAACACTGTTGGCTTCTATTAACTATGTAAATTAAAAAAAAAACCCTCTTGATTGTGGTTGCTTCATGGCGTACCTACCATTCAGACAGACTTGAAGGGTTAATTTTAACAGGTCCTTCCTCTCAAAGGAGGTTCATGTTATGCTTTCGTCTGCTTTGACCAAATAGAATTTGCAAAGTCCAATCAATTTTAGGGTACCTGAACTGTTTTGCACTCTATTAAAGCCAAAATCTGTTCGCTGGAGTAGAATGGAAACTTTCCCTCATTTAAAATGATACAGCAATCACAATCAGAGGTATCAGAAAAGGGGTGGGATGAGAATTAACAGACTAAACAAATAACAAGCAATACTACTTATCTCTGAATTTAAACCCTCTATAGATTCAAATGGAAACCCCGGTGGCGCAGTGGTTAAGCGCTCGGCTGCGAACCAAGAGGTCGGCAGCTCAAATCCACCAGACGCTCCTTGGAAATCTATGGGGCAGTTCTACTCTGACCCAAAGGGTCGCTATGAGTCGAAATCGACTTAACAGCAGTGGGTTTGGTTTTATTTTTTTTTTAAAGACTCAAACGTAGACAGTAGAGGGTCAGCGAAAAAGAGGAAGACCCTCCACGAGATGGATTGACACAATGGCTGCAACAATGGGCTCAAGCATAACGATGATCGTGATGGCGCAGGACTGGGCGGTGCTTGGTTCTGTTGTACATAGGGTTGCTATGAGTCGGAAGCAACTCAACGGCACCTAACAGCAACAACACCGACTGAAAGAACATTCACCAAGTTTATCCATTGTTTCCCAAGGGTTTGGATGTGTGCCAATGGTAGTGCGAGAAACGATTTTAAACGAAGCAGGACATGACATTAAATAACACCAACTCTCACACTGAGCATGTTTTCATTCTTTTAATCCTTCTAATTACATTTGAGAAAAAGCTTTGGATACTATAATCTTCAACGCCTCTTTAACACTGCTGAACCGTTTAGCAAAGAGCACGCCTTAGACTCAGGAAACTTCACAGGCAACAGTATTTACCAAAAACTTAATAACATTTTGCTTTAATTGAATTTAATTTTATGGTTACCATTAGTTTATGGAGAGTGATACTTGTTCTACTTATGGAAAACCAAAACCTGTTGCCATCATTCAATTCCGACTCATTTCTTTTAGAATAAAAAAAAGTAAACAACTTTGTTTTTAAAAATTAAGAACAAAGTCATAGGACTCACACTTCCTGATTTCAAAAGCCTCAGTGCTCATGACGGTGTGGCCCAGGAATAAGAACAGACATATAGATTGAGAGTCCAGACGTAAACCCATACATTTACAGTCAACTGACTTTCAAATAGGGTGCCAGGCCACTGAATGGAAAAAAACGTCTTTCAAACCAACGGTGCTGGGACAACTGGACACCCACACATAAAAGAATGAATCTGCACCCCTACCTCACATCATATACATCATATACAAAAATTAACTCAATGGATCAAAGGCCTAAATATAAGAAAACTACAGAACTCTTAGAAGAAAAACCAAAAAAACCCACTGCCATCAATTCCGACTCATAGTGACCGTATAGGACACAGTAGAACTGCCCCATAGGACTTCCAAGGAGCAGCTGCTGGATTCGAACTGCTGACCTTTTGGTTAGCAGCTATAGTTCACCGTAGCTCTTAACCACTGCGCCACCAAGGCTCCCTCAGAAGACAGTGTGTGAATTTTCATGACCTTGGATTGAGCAATGATTTCTTATATATGACACTTAAAGACCAACCAAAGAAAAGATAAATTGGACTTCAACAAAATAAAAATTCTGTGCTTTAAAGGACACTATCAAGAAAGTGGAAACCCTGGTGGCATAGTGGTTAAGAGCTATGGCTGCTAACCAAAAGGTCAGCAGTTCAAATCTACCAGGTGCTCCTTGGAAACCCTATGGGGCAGTTCTACTCTGTCCTATAGGGTCACTATGAGTTGGAATCAACTCGAGGGTAGTGGGTTTTTTTTTTTTTTAATCAAGAAAATGAAAAGAACTCATGAGGAATGAGCCTCTTAGCTCAAGTAGATACAAGAGACTAAATGGGCAGCTTCTGTCCGGAGGTGAGACGGGAAGGCAGAGAGGGTTAGGAGCTGTTTGAATGGACATGGGGAATAAGGGGTGGAAAGGAGGAGTGTGCTGTCACAGTATAGGGAGAGCAATTAGGGTCACATAACAATGTATGCATAAATTTTTGTATGAGAAACTAACTTGAAATGTAAACTTCATTTAAACTACAACAATAGAAAAAAAAGTGAAAACACAACCCACAGAATGGGAGAAAATATTTGCAAATCATGTATCTGGCAAAGTCTAGTATCCAGAATGTATAAAGAACTCTTACAATTCAACAATAAAAACACAAATAACTCAATTAAAACATGCGCAAAAGATTTGAATAGGTATTTCTCCAAAGAAGATACACCAACACTCAATAAGCACAGGAAAAGATGTTTAACATCATCAGCCACCACGAAAACGCCAATCAAAGCCACAGTGAGATACCACTTCACGCCCACTGGCATGGCTGTATCGAAAAGACAGGCAGTAACTAAGTGTTGGCAAAGACATGGAGAAATTGGAACCCTCATCCATTGCTGGAGGTAATGTAAAATGGGGCAGCTGCTATGGAAAACAGTTTGGTAAATCCTCAAAATATTAAACACAGAATTACCATATGACCAGCCAACTCCACCCCTACGTATAATAGCCAAGAATTGGAAACATGTCCAGACAAAAACTTGCACATGAATATTCATAGCAGCATTATTCGTAATAGTCCCAAAGTGGAAATAACCCAAATGTCCATCAACTGATGGAGAAACACTGTGGTACATACGATACAATGGAATTATTACTCATCCTTAAAGAGAAATGAGGTTCTGATATGTGCTACAACATGGCTGAACCTTGAAAACATTATGCTAAGTGAAATAAGCCAGACACAAAAGGACAAATATTGTATGGTCCCACTTGTATGAAATATCTACAACGAGCAAATGCATAGAGACAAGTAGGTTAGCAGCTACCTGGGCAGGAGTAACAAAACAACACAGAACAGCTATGAATTCTCTATGTACTTACATGGAAGACTGTCCATATATATGAGGTGCATATAGTTTCCGATTGTATTTATTTTATATAAATGTTTGTATCTGTATATGTGTATTTGAATGCGTGTATCTCTATATGGCTACAAATTTAACACAAACCTATACTTACTTTTATAATTATATATTGATATTCATAGTTGTCTACTCGAAGGAAAAATCATTTAAAACTCATACGTCAAAATAGTAACGATGGTTACTGCTCAAGAGTGAATTTCAAGGCATATTTTATCTTTTACATTTCAGTATGTCTACAACAAATGAAATGTGGAAGATAAGGGGAAGGATGGAAATAACACAAAAAATTAAGAAAAAAGAGCTCAGATGATACTCAGACACGGTAAAAAGTAAGAAGGTAGGACTCTAACAGCTGAAGTTCACAAAACGCATGTTCCTTCACTGATCAGAAACTAGCTGTTCTGACTGTGTTCTCTCTTCCCTCGGACTGGATTGGACTTCCTTGTGTTTGTTTTTACCACAGGGAGGTCAAAATTTTATTTTCTATTTGTTCCTTCAACATTTCCAACGTTCCATGACCACACACGTCTTTACTTTCCATTCTCTTAGCTAGCGAGTTCCTGGCTGATGCAGAAGTACAGTTCCTCCTCTGTGAAGTACGCACTTGCCCCGCATCATCGCTGGTATGAGTCGTGTCTCTCAGCTAACACCATCAACACACTGCCTTTCCTGGTGGTACTTTTTCTATTTACACTGTGCTCTCACTGTGGAGTGGAACTTTGGGCTCTCAGAGGGTTTCAAGTCTCAGCTGTCTGGGTCTTTACAATAGAACAACAAACCTTTTTTAAAAATTAAAAAATTTACCAAACATACATAAAAATAGAAAGAATATATCCAACCCCCAGATTTAACATTATCAAGATTTTTGCCACATTCGCTTATAAGTCTATGTCTTTTCCTCCTTTGCTGCCGTATTTCAGAGTGAATCCTAGACATTATACCATTCAACTATGTATCTCAGTATGCACTGCTTCCTTGTATAATAACAGTATCACTATTAGCTTATCAAAGCTAATAAAATTACTCTTTTGTTTGGGGGCTTTTGAGGCTAAACAAATCGTACAGAATCTTACCGCTATGAAAAGTTAGCATGTGCTAGAACAGCAATACTCTGGAGCCGCTCAACAGGGACATTTCAGTGTGTTCTGACATGCAGGTAGTGACCTACCATCCACCTCAAGCTGGGTCAAGAATACCTACGGCAACTCTTAAAAATACACAGCATCAAGATGTCTTTGTGCATTATTTTAATAAAAAACACACTGCTATGTACAAATATACAGATCTCCAACGTAATGAAGTAGCTTTACAGTTTCCTTCACTGAGATAGATCTCCTGTCCAATTTACACATTTATGATTAGCAAGACATAGTCAGCAAGACAAGTACAAATTTTACAGCCTCATGATTAGTCAGTAAAAGACACAAGAGCTATAATAAACTACTGTTAAATGCTAGAAGTATAGGTGATACAGCTTTCTCAGATTTCTTCTACCAATGATTATATACTTGATGTATAAACATCTTTAAATGTGGAATAGTTCAATATGATTGCATACATTTATTGCACAATGACAATTTGCTGATGTAATCCTATATATATTTTAGAACTGGAATTCTCTAAAAAAAAGGAATGATAAACCCTGAAAGGAAACTGTTAAGTCTCAAGTCAAATTATGTTTAAAAGTTAAAAGGTCTTTGGAAAACAAAAGTGTGGGCAGGAAACACTGGCTACACGTCAATTTTTATTTGTAAGAGTAATTCCTGCGCAAATACTAGTATTCTTCTTTTTAAGTCTTAAAAGACAAAACAAAAACAAATAATCCTAAAATTAACCCCACAAATCCAAATTAGCTGAACTTGGAGTAACAAAGTCAAAGCCAGTCTTGTTATCTGCACATTAATTTGATAAGTCAAATTACATCTTAAAACAAAAACAAACCCAAACTGCATCTGCTGCTGTGCAGAAGTGATGGTTACTTTTCAGCACTTTAAATAAAGACAACAGTTACACAGCTCTTTTTTTGAGAAACACGTATATCAGGGAAACCCAAAAGAATACATCACTCATGAAATTCCATAAAAGCTGCAAGGTAGCCAAGAGTTGGTGGCATTTAAGGACAGCAAAAGTTTGCACCCTTAATGCTCAATGATGGCCTTTGTGCCAATAAAGAAATGCCTTTCACATACTGTAGATGAAATGGTAAAGAAAGGAATACGGTATTACATGGCCTCCCAGCACAGAGCAGCTGTATCTGTATAAAGGGATCACTGAAGAGTTATCTCTTGTTTTCAGTGAAGCCCTGTCTAGGCTGTAATCTACGTGATAGCATCTACTTTCAACTCCCAAGATAAACAAAGGGAGTCTAGGCATCAAGGTTGATTCTCTTTGGCCGCAATGGATACCATCTTCTCTGGGGGCACTCCTTCGTTCTCTTTCTTCTCAGTACCATGTCAGTGCTTTTCCTGCCAGCAGTCTCTGTTGGTGTGGTTTCTATTTGTGTTATAAAACTCTCGGGTTTAACATCTGTCTTCCTACTGCAACCGGAAAAGACTTCTTGGTGGATCCTCTGGAGCTGAATAACAGGCTGCATCTTTAAAACTTGGGAAAATCCGTCTGCTTGTTCAATTAACGTGGGCAAAGACTTAAAAAAAAGCAGTAATACTCAAAGTCAATCTCAGGTTCAACCACACACACTCTCAGAAACAGATCCGACAGTCTACAAGCTTAATTCTTTGGGACAAGGCTTTTTCTGAGACCAAATTTCTGGGGTCATGGATGTTCAATTTTAACTTGAAAATACCAGTTTTAGCTGAGGAATTCTGACTGAAAACTAAGACTAAGAGACATTTTCTGTTCCTATAATGCTTAGTAGTAAAATAAAACTCAAGCAGAGCAGGAGGTAATGGAAATTCAGAGCTAAGACTATAATGTCTAAACAAACTTCTACATGCCCATTTCAGGATAATGAGTATTTTAGAAATCTTAATCATTAAGAGCAGGGATCAGTACGTTTTTTCCTGTAAAGGGCCAGATAGTAAATATTTTCAACTTTGCAGCCCATACATTCCTGTCACAGCTACTCCGCTCTGCCACTGCAGCACGAAACAGCCACAGGCAGTAAGTGGATGAATGGACACGGCGGTGTTCGAATAAAGCTTTATTTACAAAAAAAGGCAGTGGGCTGGATTCAGCCTCGCCTACCAATCTGGCAATCCCTGATAAAGAACACGCCATGAGAGAAGCATGAAAACTGGAAAATCATGGGATCAATACAAACCACAAAAGAATTACCATCAGAACAGGGGAGATTCTGAAGGAGTTTAAAAATAATTTCCATATACTAGAAAGCTAAACGTTTTTCTGTTTAGGGTAAAATAAATTTCAAAAATATAGACAAGTTTATTATAGTAATACTAAGACTCCTAAGTTGGATATGTAGTACAGAATAGTGGTTACGAGTACAGCTTCTGCAGCCAGACTTCCAGGGTTTGAATCCTGGCTCAGCTACTTATATGTGCATCCAACTTAGCCTCTGTGCCTGTCTCTTCATCTGTAAAGTGGAGAATAGCAGTGTGTGTCTCATAAGGCTACTGTAAGGATTAAATGAGATATAAAGAAGTTAGAAGGTGCCTGACCCATGCTAAGTGCTCAATAAATGCTAGCTATTGTTATCATCAAAAGTTGTTTGACAGGCTTCTAATACTCAGAACCCAAAAACATAGCCAACCAGTAATGAAACCAAGTGTAATAAATACCTGGCACACAGTAGGTGCCTGATAAATGGTAGTTATTCCAAATATTACTGTCATTTAATAAATTCATTAAAGATCTATGTAAAGACTACTGAGAATTTCTGTTTCAGTAGGCTAATACACATATGAATGATGAAAGCAAATACGCAGCCGTACATTTTGCTCATTTTATAATGTTTTAGCAGGCAGCTTTTACCTTCATGGCTTCACTGATCTCCTGAGTTACTGTTTCCCCTCTGCATTTCAAATTTTCCATACGAAAGGCTGCAAAGAAACCACCAAACAGCATATTTTAGTTTTTGTTTTGTTTTTTCTAATACTAAATCATAAAAGATATGCAGATACTATCTGGACAAAAATCTGTTAGGACCATTCACCTTAGTCTTTCTTAGAATGTTTCTGTAATCTATTAAACAAGTGTCTCATTAAATTTATGTAAGTAAATAAAAAGACCGTGAAAACGTTGAGAGTAAAACGAAAGGTTACGTTAAAATAGCAGAGTAAAACCAAAGGTTCTAAGCATAAGATGGCAGAAAACAAAAGTTCTATTATGAGTTGTTGCTGGGTGCTGGCGAGTGGGTTCCAACTCACAGCGACCCGACGTACAACAGAACAAAATACTGCCAGGTCCTGCACCATGCTCACAATCGGTTATGCTTGGCCTATTGCTGCAGCCACTGTGTCAATCCACCTCGTTGAGGGTCTATGTATTATGAGTAGTCTAGGTATTATCTACCACTACGTTCAACACCCTCCAACACTATCAACACATTTTAAAATAAGTAAGGCTAATATTTAATTTTTGTCTTACTCTGAATCTTAAAAAGTAAACCATATTTAAACTTAGAATATACAACCATACACTGCATAGAAGTGATAGCTTGATGGGTTTCTGGAAAAAAAAAACTGGAAAAGACCATCAGTAATATTGACTTCTCTTTCCTTACTTTCTTCATGCTCTTCAGGCTCCTCATACATTTTATTTTCTTCCAACCTTTGTTATAAATGTTCTTGGCAACAGAACTGCATATTCAATGACACAGAGGCATACAAAATCTTACTACAACTCTAAATGAAAGTTTTAAGAAAAACCTTTCCATTATAGAATCACCTACAAACTAGTTTCTGGAATAGCAGTTCTCACTAGCAACTTTTTTTAAAGCTCGAGCAAGTGTAAAGCTGTTAGGAGGGACACAGCTTTATTGGCTTCAAGAGACTCACTTTAGAGCCAAAGACACAAACAGGTTGAGGGGAAAAAGGTATCCATGCAAATAACAACTGAAAGAGAGCAGGGGTGGCTCCACTAACTTCAACAAAACAGACTCTAAAGAATTGTTACATGAGGCCAAAAAGAACATTATATATCGATTAAAGGGTCAACCCATCAAGAGATAAACAATTATAAACAGATATGCATAAAACAGCAGAGTCCCAAAATATATGCAGCAAATACTGACAGAATTGAAGGAAAAAATAGTTTTACAGTAATAGTGGGAGACGTGAATATCCCACTTTCAATAATGGACAGAACTAGACAAAAGAGCAATAATGAAATAGAGAATTTTAACAATACTATAACCGACTGGAGCCCTACTGGCATACTGGTTAAAAGCTTGGTTGCTAACCGAAAGGTCGGCAGTTTGAATCCACCAGGAGCTTCTTGGAAATCCTATGGGGTAGTTTTCTCCTCTGTCCTGTAAGGTTGCTCTGGGTCAAAATCGACTCACAGGCAACTTTTTTTTTTGTTTTAAATGAACAAACTAGATCTTATCCAGGCACAAAAAGGAATGAAGTACTGATACACGCTCTGTACCATGGATGAACCTTAGCGCTGTCATGCTGAGAGGAAGAAGCCAGTGACGCGAACCAGACGGAAAAGGCCACCCCCTGCGGACTCCACTCAAACCAGACGGAAAAGGCCATCCCCTGCGGACTCCACTCAAACCAGACGGAAAAGGCCATCCCCTGCGGACTCCACTCAAACCAGACGGAAAAGGCCATCCCCTGCGGACTCCACTCAAACCAGACGGAAAAGGCCGTCCCCTGCGGGCTCCACTCACATGAAACGGCCACAACGAGAACGTCGCGGAGACAGGAAGCAGGTCGGTAGTTGCCAGGGGCTTATGTGGGGGTGGGGAAGGACTGCTTAATGGCATGAGGTCTCCTTCTGGGGTGACGAAAGTGTTCTGAAAGCAGAGTGGTGATGGGCTACATAACACTGTGGACGTACTAAATGCCAGGGATCCGTACACTTTAAAATGGTGGGAACGGTAAATGTTACGTGATGTGCACTTCAGTTTCCCAATCTCCAAGCCCCCCTCCCCCACGTCGCCCCAAACAGCATCCATATACGTGGTGGCTAGCCCGCCAATTTGGCCATCAGTGATCCTGTATTCACACCTTGTGCAGTTCCCTCCCACCTTGTCCCAGGGCTGGTCTGTGTGACCAGTAACTCACGGCTCAAGTGACAGCGTATGACTTTCATGATTAGGTTATTAAAAAAAGACTGTGACTTCTGTCTGGGGCCCTCATCCTCTCTTTTGGATCACTAACTCTGCAAGAAGCAAGCTGCCAGGTCGTGGAGAGGCCTACACCGCAAGGAAGTAAAGTCTCTGTCCAGCAGTCAACGAGGAACTAAGGTCTCCCAACGACAACATGAGTAACCCTGGAATCGGATTCTTCAGCCCCAGCTCACAGCTTTACTGCGACCTTGTAAGAGACTCTAAGCCAGAACCACCCAGCTAAGCCGCTCCCAGATTCCTGCCCCTCAGGAACAGAGGTAACAAATGTTTACTGTTTCAAACTGCTTAGTTTTACAATAATTTGCTACACGGTAATAAAGAACTAATACAAGGGCAATATATTTTCAAATCAACATATTTAGGCCCATCCTAGGCGGAAACGAAAATTCTCAGTAAGGGAGATTTCTTTTCAACAATGTATGCTTGTATATAAATAGTACTATTCATGCCACTGTAATGTAACATATCATTTTCTTACAGCTTAAGAAAGGCCTCATGTAAAATTTCATACATATCTTGTTAAATTTTCAGTTTTCACTGAGTACATATTCTAAAATGTACTGACAATAGCAGGTGTTGGTAAGGATGTGGAGCAACCAGAACTCTCACACTTGGTGATCCAAGTGCAAACTGGTACAATCACTCTGGGAAACGCTTTAGTAGTATCTGTAAAAGCTAAACATACCTGCCTACCCTACGACCCAACAATTCTACTTCTAGATACATGTCCATGAAAAACGAGTATAGTATAAGAATGTTCACAGTAGCTTTAGTCATAACAGACAAATCCTAGAAACAATACAAATGACAATCAACAGACTAAACTGTTTACAGACACACAACAGAACACTATGCAACAATAAAAAAGAACTACTCCTACACTCCAAACATCGATCAATCTTACAGACAGAGCACTACGCCAAAGAATGCAGCAACAAGAAGAAAACGACTCAAAACCCGCTGCCATCAAGTCAATTCCAACTCTCGGCAACCCCACGTGTTACAGAGCAGACCTGCTCCACAGGGTTTTCTTGGCTGGAATCTTTAAGGAAGCAGATCACAGCACTTTCTTCCAGGGAGCCACTTGGTGGATTCCAACTGCCAACCTTTAGGTCAGTAGTAGAGTACAAACCGTTCGCGTTACCCGGGGACTTACAACAAGAATATACGCTATAGTTCCAGGAGTATGTATTCTTGTATTATGCAAATAGAATTATACAGTATGTATTCTTATTCCTGCATTCTTTAGCTCAATGTTCTTTCTTTAAGATTAATCCATTTATATGAAGCTCAAGAACAGGCACAACAAATCTATGATGATATAAATCAGAATAGTGGTTACCTCTGGTAGAAGGGGAATATTAACCAGAAATGAGTATAAGGAAGCCTTTTTGGGTACTGGAAGTGTTACAGAGGGTATCCATAAAGTTGGGAAACAAGATAAACACGTCTTAGTTATATTTTCAAATAAGATGCTCAGTAACTTTTTCTCCAACCTCAATATTAACTTTTCAGGTAAAATATTTCTAAATTTAAAGCAACAGGTCCAACTGTTAATCTGAAAAAATAAAATAAACACACTATGTTTCCAGCTTTCTGGACACTTTGGATGGCACTGATTGTACCGGTGAAAACATACTGGGTATGTTATTTGAAAACATAACTATCATACTATTTAAAAATAAGTTTATCTTAACGTTTCCTAACATGGATGACACTCTGTACATGTAGATCAAGGTGGCAGTTACACAGGAGTGTGTGTGAATAAACTCACTGAGCTCTGCCCTGTATGCTACACTTCAATACACACATACACACACAATAATGAGCAAAATCTTTTTAACACGAACCCTAGAGAGTTTATCTTACTTTCACGTACAGGGCAAGGCACTCATACTCTTCTTCACTGTGACTGCATGGTTTATAAAACAGCCCATCGCTGAAAGGATTCTTCTTAATTTTTCTTTATTAGCAGCACTGATAACTATATTCCCTGACTTGTGGAGCCCTTTACTAGGATTTTTAGAAACTAAGTGCTGTTGTGGTTAGGTGCCATCAAGTCAATCCCGACTCACAGCGACCCCATGAACAACAGAACGAAACACTGCCCAGTCCTGTGCCATCCTCACAATCGTTGCTAGGTTTGAGCCTGTTGCTGCAGCCACCGTGTCAATCCATCTCCCTGTGACTGTTAAAAGGATTCCTAAAACACTTAGGGCTACTTGGTTTTAAACGTGGCTATAAACCTTCATTGCTGATCAACACTAGCTGTCCTCCATCTGGCGCACAAGCAATGACCCCGTGAAAAGGGCCAAGAACACTCTGGGTTTGTGTGTGAAATGGAACTAGGTTCTAGGCTTGGATAATTATAAACATATTTTTACACAGGACTGTCTGGTGGCATATTAAAAATTGTGCTAGACATACAAGACATTTACTATCTCTGGCCCTGACTACAAAATGCCAGCTGTATCCACCTTATTGGAGCCCTGGTGGCGTAGTGGTTAAGCGCTCGGCTGCTAACCAAAAGGTAGGCAGTTTGAATCCACCAGCCACTCCTGGGAAACCCTCTGGGGCAGTTCTACTCTGTCCTATAGGGTCGCCAGGAGTCAGAACCGACTCGACGGCATCGGATTTGGTAGGGTTTTATCCTCCTTACTGTGGGAGCCAAAAATGTCCCCTCACTTTTCCAAGAGGGCCACTAGGGGGCAATAATACCCCCCAGTGAGAACTTGGATGTTT